TAAATGGTCCTTATGGCATTAAGGGCAAATGTGTCATTTCATAGGGACTTAACTGAAAAAGTTAACACTATTTGTTAAAAGGAGTGTCTTTGCAAGATTGTGAAACCACAAGGACTATCTATCCACAAAAATTGTCATAAGGATCAAAGTTGGTAAATTGTGTCAACTATAAGGACCATTTATGTAATTTTGTTTTTTAACATTAAAAATAGTTATTATTAACCGACTAAAATAAATTGCTTAAATTATCTTTAATGGACCAACAAACTTAATTTACTGTGTAAAGAATTAAAATGAATAAACTTAGGGTTATGTTGCAAGTTTATTAGCTTATTTATATCTTTATATTTTTGGCTAAGTTTTAAAATTTATTCCAAATTTGGTCTGAATTATTTTCTACGATATTATTTTAAAATTATTACTTTTTAAAATTATTTTGTTACAATTTATTAAAAACTTTTTGCACAAAATTTCTATAAACTTTTTTATACGTTTTGCATGTCATTTATAAATTTATAAATTTAGCTTTTTAAATTTTTATACAAATTTTAAAAATTCTTTACAATCTTATTTTACAAGATATTTAAACGTTTATGATAACTAACTGTAAAAGGGATAATGTTTTGTGGAGAATGAAAAATACTTCGTTGCCTATTTATAATATTAACCTTTGATATAAATATATATATATATATATATATATATATATATATATATATATATATATATATATATATATATATATATATATATATATATATATATATATATATATATATATATATATACACACACACACGGTAAACATAATCCCCTTAATTCATAACCAATCTCATCTTTAATTCAACAAACATAATAAATTACATGAAAAAACAATTGAGTCTATCTTCTACCTCTTCTAATAAATGAAACATAAAAATGACACGTGTCAGTTTTTTAGAATGTTTCTTTGATACGTGACATTTTTCCATGATTTTTGTTATTTTCTTTTTTTTGTAACAAATTAAATTCAATTCAAAATTTGAAAACACAAAATCATATCCTAATAACATTATTATATTTATTTTACTTAACAAATTAATTCATAATTACTAACAATCAACAAATCTTGGGTTTTTTAACATTTTTTTATCTATATAAAATTTTTAAATATATTGACCGTGGTTTCCTTGAGTTACAACCTAGTCAACTAATAAAAGCTTACAAATTGACTATCTTAATCTTTAATTACATTCGTATACGTAGACAATATTCAAATGGAACCTTTAATTATCAATCAAATATCTAGTAGCCAGAGTAGTATAATATCTACCTCTTCTAATAAATGAAATATAAAAATAACACGTGTCAGTTTTTTAGAATGTTTTTTTGACACGTGACATTTATCCATGATTTTTATTATTTCATTTTTTTTTGTAACAAATCAAATTCAATTCAAAATTTGAAAATACAAAATCATATCCTAATAACATTATTATATTTATTTTACTTAACAAATTAATTCATAATTACTTACAATCGACAATATCTTAGGTTTTTTTGATATTTATATATATATATATATATATATATATATATATATATATATAAATTTTAAATATATTGATCGTGGTTTCCATTAGTTATAACCTAGTCAACTAATAAAAGCTTACAAATTGACTATCTTAATCTTTAATTACATTCGTATACGTAGATAATATTCAAATGAAACCTTTAATTATCAATCAAATATCTAGTAGCTCGAGTAGTATAATATAAAAATTTAAAAATAACCTTTTGGAGTGGGATTTATGTAATAACATAAATAACTATGCCTTAAAATTATATATATATATATATATATATATATATATATATATATATATATATATATATATATCATTATTATATATGAAAACCCTGTTTTCCTCTTTACTTTAAATTTCAATTTCCATGGTCCACTACAACACACGTAACCTAACTACAAAAGGACGCAACTGATGACAACTTACCGTTTCTCCATCCTCCCAACGTTTGCCAATATCCATACAACGTTTCCAAATCCCAATGGAAACGACACATCGATTTCCTTCCCGTCTAACCATTCCCGATCCTTTTTCCGTCCAAAAACCCCCATATCTTTACTGTATCTCATCCTTCCGGTAAAAGCACGTAAAATTATCATAAATGGCAGTTTCCTTAGCTTCTCTTCCTGTTAATCTTCCTAAGCCCAACCACTGTATATAAAAAGGTAACGGCTTCCTTCTATTCTCTACTTTCAACATTCTATCTCGAATTCATGCTACGCTTCTTTTCCATCTTTTTCTTCCGGATGAACCAGAAAATTAGAGCTTTATTGTGATTTCATCAAAGATTATCCCCACCATACGCACCGATAAGCTTTGGTGTCTCTTTATTTTCAGTAAATCGGGCGTTAAAATAATGATAATTTTACATGACTTCAGTTATTACGAAACCATTATCTCTATGATAGTATTATTGATTGGACACCAATGATCACTGAAAGCGTTCCAGGTTCAAGAACACATGGCTAATTCACTCTTCTCCATCTCTCTTTTCATGTTTTTTTTTTTAAAACCGTATGTCTCTCTGTCATCTATCTTGCCATGATCGCTTCTTGTGTTTATATTTATGTAGTTTTCTGAATTGGGGCAACTTGATCGAAGGATAGGTTGGTGCATCTCTACGCCAATATTATTGGTTTCCAATATGTTGTGTTCATTCACACTCAAAATTGGACGCTAACAGATCACTGAACACGTTCCAGGTTCAAGATCATATCACTCTTCTCCATCTCTCTTTTCATGTTTATTATGAAAAAACCCATACTACTCTCTATCTTCCATCTTGCCATGATAACTTCTTATGTTTATATTTATGTAGTTTTCTGAATTGGGGAAACTTGAATGAGAAAAATGTTGGTGTAATATGTTGTATTATTACCCTTTCACTAATCCCTAACTTTTGTGAAGATTACATGTGCACTTCAAATTACTGACAATAACCATTTCATTGTTTCATAAATAATGAAATTAACATAATCCAATTGTATACAGGCATGACTCAAGTCTGTTACTACTGGTGAAAACAATACAACTTTATTGGTCTGTTATAAGTTGTATTCATTATCTGTTTGAAGATTATGAAGCTCCATTTAATTCTCATATATTTGGCAGAATGACTAATTGACATAGGATAAAGCTTGCTTTTATACATCTAAATTTGTAGATTATCTTGGATACATATATTGTTCAGATCCCATACATCAATACATTAAGTTAATTCAATGAAAAACTTTGTATTATTTTGTTGCAATGGATAGCATTGATAACCATAACAATAAACTAATTGTCACATGATTTTTTTTAATAAATAATGCTGATAACATGTTAATGACAGTTAGAGAATATGCTTCTTCCATCAGATGTACACATAAATATTGACGATTTTGGTAGTGTAAAGCCCATGTAAGTTATCCAAATAACAGTCCTTCTAATTGCAGCATCAGGTTTGATTTTTTTTTTCAATTATTCCAATTTAGAGTAAACTAAATCGTAAAAAATGAAACATGATACTGATCCAACAAAAAGACTCGATACAAGCATGACGATGATACTTCATTTAAAAACTATCCTTTCTTAAAGGAATGAATTGGCATAATATACGATCACAAAGCCCTTGGAAACTTGTATTCGAGAAGGTAGATACTTTTGGTTAATATGAAAAATCTTTACCTTCTATTCAAATATGTTTCATGATAATAACAAATTAAATGGATATTGTTGAGTCTAGAATATAGTTCTAACAATTACTTGGTAACATTATATGTAAAATCTTTTTCTTAATATGATATTATAATAAGATGTAATATTAGGAATAATTCCTATCATGTTAAAGAGTAATTTATGTGTCATTATGGCAAAGATGAAGGTGAACTTGCAGAATTCAGTGAGTGTCTATTTTAACATAAGTGGAAATTTGGACTATTGCATAACACATCTGTTATTTATTTAGACAATAAATGTTATGTTTATATTTTTTTGGATATTGTTGACTATAGCATCTAAACAAAAGATCATTAATTAGTTTTAATAGCAATATTTTGTCCTAAATAACAATGCATTTTTTTGTTTGATTTGGATTTTTACGTGTTCAGATGTTTGTGGAAAGTACATGTGGACACAGCCTCATTTGTTACTAACTTACTAAGGAGGCCATGGTGGTGTTTGAGGCCTTAGGACTAGAAGTTAGTCAAAATTCCAAAAGTTCTTTTCATTTCCTCGAAATTAACAACTAATAACCAAGTTCTGCAAATGATACTTATAATTAAGGTCCCCTAAATCAAAAATCCAATTTCAAGAGCTACCACCTCATCCTAATACCAACAACTTGCTTCATTCCCATAATTCTTTGCATCATGTTTTACATTGAAAATCCATCTTTTTATAACATTTTACTTTCATTTTTTTAAAGCTATTAGTACAATATACATTAGATAACAGTAACAAAATACATTATTACCCTAAGCACGACCTCAAACTTTTTAGTATATATATATATATATATATATATATATATATATATATATATATATATATATATATATATATATATATATATATAAACACGGTAAACATAATCCCCTCAATTCAAAACCAATCTCATCTTTAATTCAACAAACATAATAGATTACATGAAAAAACAAGTGAATCAACTAATAAAAGCTTACAAATTGACTATCTTAATCTTAAATTACATTTGTATACGTAGACAATATTCAAATGGAACCTTTAATTATCAATCAAATATCTAGTAGCTCGAGTAGTATGATATAAAAAATTAAAAATAACCCTCTGGAATGGTATTTATGTAATAACATAAATAACTATTGCTTTAAAATTTTAGTTAAATAATATTATCAAAATGGTATCTTTTGGAATAGAGAGAATTCCTATTACTACAACATACAATATATTTACAAAATCTAGTCAATCATAGAACTAAAAGGCCATTGGAGTTATTTCCGAATCGATTGCCTTTCTCGTTACATGAAACAAATAGTACCCAAGACCATGACCAGCTACCGCCACAACAAATACACCAATATTAAACGACATCACCGCTAACATTAACATATATGAGAACACAACATGCATAACGTGTATCATTGTATGCGCTATACGGTTGGATTTTGTGGGAGTCATGTTGGAATGAGCCAACCATTCCATCATCATAGCAAGAAGGAATATCAAAATAAGTGACAAGATATACAATATTGTATTTGTTCCAGGAAATCCTTCGAAAAGAATCCAAGCATTCATCCCCCAATAAAAAGTCATGTGTGTCATGCCGTGATCCAATCCCATCATACCATCCATTGACATTGGTGTTGTCGGCGACACTCCTCCCACTGGTCCGTTGTTCATCATCCCCATTGATCCGCCGCCTTGGTGGTCCATATCCATGTTTATTGGAGATGGATACACTTCGAACGGAACCTGGGGATCGTTTCTTCTTTCTTGTTTATTCTCTCTATATCTTTACTTTTTGTATACCTCTTTCCAATTCATAAAATTTAAATTCTTAGAATTCTCAAATTCTTAAATTCTTAAATTTGGAATATTTAGTTTCGCACCCATATTTTGCGAGACAGACGTGTATAGTTTAGTGTGTCGTATTGAACTCGTTCATATCCATTGGTTGTCCCGTAAAAAACGCAATGTTATTTATTAGAAATAAAATGTTAACAAAATCTTTATTTTTTTAATGGTAAATAACTTTTTGCTTTTAAATAAATGGGGGTTTCTTGATGTAATGATGTTGTACTTTGTATAAACAACTTTATAGGTGTATAATATACATATAGGTTGTGTTTTATAAAGTAACTAGGTTTAAACCCGTGGAAATCCACGGGTGATAAATTGAAATATAATTATAGTTTTTAATTTGTAACAAAAAAAGATATGAAAGTTTAGAAAAAAAATGAAGAATAGTGATATTAGCATTAATATGAATAAGTCAAATACAATAAAGTTGTAAAAATTAATTAATTAATATGATAGATGAAGTACGATACAAGAAAAGTAAATAAAAGATGGTAGAAAAGTAAATAAAAGATGGTAGAAAAGCATTGTTTATAAATTCCCAAAAACTTCCTTATAAACGACATTGGAAGTTTTATTTGTGAGACTACCATCCTTATCTAAAATTAACAATTTTAATCCGTCCCTACTTTGGACTCTAGATAAAGCAACATACAATTGGCCATGTGAAAACACGGGATGTTTAAGAAACAAACCAACCTTGGATAATGACGTATTCCCTTAACAGTACCAACAATAATGACTGTCTTTTCCTGGATATTAAAATAATGCTCATTGTTAATAAATGTTATTTTGCGAAAGTGTATTTTAGTTTAGTTATAACAATATACTCTAAATATGAAAAAACATTTAAAATTTAAAAACATAAGTGCATTAAACTAACAATTTTAAAAATAATGTAAAGTACCTCCAAAGGTTCAAACAAGTCTTCAATGTTAGAAAACAAATGATTTCTCAGAAAGTCATCACGTTCTGTGTCTTGTTTTGATGCAATCATTTTAATTCCACTTGATGACAGTTGTTGTCCATTTTCAGAGACCAATCTGTTCATTTACAACAAAGAAATGATTTAAATTTATTATAGTATGAAATAAATAAATCTGATAATACATAGGAAATTCTAAATGAAAATACTTGTTTTTGTAGATTGTAATTTCATCGATATCATTGTTTATGAAAACCCTACTAACATCAAAGTAGGTGGATGAAAAATGACGACCTGCCAAAATAAATTTGATTATTCAATAATATATATATATATATATATATATATATATATATATATATATATATATATTAGATTATGCTTGTTAAAAATAGTTACAAACCATTAATAAACTTCACCTGGCAAATTTTTATTTATTTTTCCAATTTGCATAACTTTATAGGTGTATAATATACATATAGGTTGTGTTTTATAAAGTAAATAGAATAAAAGTTATAAATTTAATAAATAAGAAAATTAAAAATCAATGTCTATAGAATAGTATATTTATAAAACATCTTTCCACATAAAGACTAAAGAGTCAAACTTGTGAGCGGAACAACCAAAGTAGAGATCCATCTATAAACAATTGCCGCCCATCACAGAAATTAGCCATCCAATATCCGAGAGAAAGAGAGAGATATGGCGGAGCACGGCAGAAGACGGTGGCAGCTGGTGTTGATTACAAGTCCACTTCAAGGCCACATGACGCCCATGCTCCAGCTTGGCTCATACCTTCAATCGAAAGGGTTCTCCATAATCTTTGCTCACTCCGAGCTCAACCCACCAAATCCTTCTAATCACCCTGACTTCATCTTCCTCTCTCTGCCGGACAACTTATCCGGCACAGGCATCTTCTCCGGCATCAATCAGTTCTTGAAAGCTCTCAATGAAAACTGCAGACCCCATCTCGAGAAACACCTGATTCAGATGATAAATACACAAAAGGAAACATCTGAAAAAGAATCAATCGTTATCATCTATGATAGCCTCATGTTTTTTGCAGGAAACCTCGCCGGCGATCTGGGTCTACCCTCCATCATCTTGCGCAGCAGCTGTGCAGCCATCCTTCCTAGTTACTGGATCATCCCGCAGCTCCATCAAGAAGGTCGATTTCCTGTACAAGGTAATCGACAATCCAAAACCCACATAAACAAACAATCTAAGTACTAAAATTCTGCTTTAAAGATTCTTTTTTGCAGGAAATGATTCCAGAGTTCCATCCATTCAGATACAAAGATCTACCCTTTATTGGCCTTCCAATACAAGAAGTCCTTGATTTGATCGCAATGATCAGCCCCAAAACACCCGCTTCTGCTTACATTTGTAACACCCTCGAATGTCTTGAACAGTCAACGCTGACCCAGATTCGTCATCACTACCAAGTTCCGATTTTTACAATCGGCCCGTTGCACAAAACATCTCCAACTCCTTCCACTAGCTTCCTTGAAGAAGATACCAGCTGCATTCCATGGTTAGATAAACAATCACCCAAATCAGTAATTTACGTAAGCTTAGGAAGCTTAGCAACCATAGATGCAAAAATAGCAACTGAAATGGCATGGGGTATAGCCAACAGTAATCAGCCCTTCATATGGGTGGTTCGACCGGGTTCGGTTCATGGGTGTGATTGGATCGAGTTTTTGCCGGAGGATTTGGTAAGCGAGATGAAGGTGAGAGGTATGATCGTAAAGTGGGCACCCCAGAAGGACGTATTGGCCCATTCTGCAGTTGGAGGATTTTGGAGCCATTGTGGTTGGAATTCGACCTTGGAAAGTATATGCGAAGGGATTCCGATGCTGTGTCAACCGTTTAGTATCGATCAAATGATGAATGCTAGGTATTTGAGTTATGTCTGGAAGATGGGTTTGGAAATGGTTGTGGAGAGAGGGGAGATCAAGAGTGCAATCAGGAGAGTTTTGGTGAGCAAAGAAGGAGAAGAGATGAGGCGTAGGGCTATGGAGATTGAAGAACAGGTTAGGGTTGCAGTTACCCATGGCGGTTCTTCACGAAACTCCATGAATGATTTGGTAGAGTTCATCTTGTCATTGTAATTTAGGTAGCATCCACATCGTGACATCGATGATCTAAATTATGATTGAAAGTTGCCGAACAGAGTAATTTAGATATGCCATTTTCTAGCGGGGTTATATATATACATAAAGGGAAAATGAGTAACGAGCCAAGAAGTATCCAACCTTTCGAAAAATTTCAATCATGTTTTGTTGTTCAGAAAAACCTAATAAACATAACATTTATCGAAAAAAAATCAAATATATATTATTTTTACTAGGTTAAAACCCGTGGAACCGACGGGTGCTAATTTTAAATAGAATTAAAAAATTAATTATGTAATAAAATAATATATCATTAATTTAGAAAACTCATGAATTGTATTGTATTTTTATTAACTTTATAATTTATAGATATTTAATAAGTATATAAATCCAATTATTTGATAAAAGTCATGAGTTTGTATAATGTAACATACATTTGAGTAAAGAGAAATAAACAGAAAAAATCATTAAATTGAATTGCCATAAAACAAACAAAATATTTTAGTTATGTAATTAACATAAAAAAATACAATACGTATTTATGGATAAATTAATTAATATGATGGATGAATTGTGGTTTGCTAAAAGTAAGTTTATCCTAAATTGATATACTATTGATAAAATAAAATATAAACAAATTAAATTTATATTAAACACAATTAATATTTGTAAGATGTAAACCCAAGACAATAAATATAATTTTTTTATTAAAGTAGAAATCTGTTAATTATTTATAGAATTTGACGAGCACATGATATGATTTTTAACATGAAATAAATATTAATTTTAAAAAACATTGAAACAAAATAAAAAGTTCATAAATTTTTGTTTAAAATTCAATTTAAATGTAATAGTTATTTGTAAATTCGTAGTATTATGTTGCTTAGTACATTTCAAGAGATGGGTCGCCTAAACCCCATACCTAAATTCCACTAAATGGGTCGATCCTAAACCACATACCCTAATTATACAGATGAATCCTCCATTTACTCTATCCAACAATCCGACGTCCTAATCGATCCCTATTTGATCGAGTTTCATAACCTGATGATTATGAACGAATCATACCGACCATCTCCAATCTTCGACGACGATCTTCCGATTTTGTCAGACACCGACGATTTTCAGAGTGCAGAAACTGTTAGTCTCTGCGGTTGTGTGACGGCCTCTCATCCATCTGGAAATGAGAAATTACGTTTAGTCGTTTGGGTTTTCGATTGATTACAATAGCTGGAGTGCCACCACTCATATAATAGCTTAATCGGTGGAGTTGTTACCGCCACTGCCGCCAGACTGATATGATACTTTCAGATGCTAGACGAAAGTTGATGTTAAGTTTCCGGCACCTGATTAAGTTCGTTATAAAGATGACGGGGTATGGGCTCACGGATCCGGTGAATAGAAAAGAGTATATTGATTACTCGAGTACGATTGATATTGAGGTAAGCCTTTACACTATCAAATAGTTGGTGTTCAATGCAGTATACTAATTCTTATGAACTTGACACGAAAATAGCAATTCATATTCTCAATATTCATTGAATAAAAGAAAATGAAAGAACCAGTAACACATTCAATTTATACATGTTACATGGACCTTTTTTGTAATTAATATAGCTATTTTGAGAAAATGTACTTATTTGCAATTATAGTTTAACGGGGAACCATCTTTTTTTGAGTTTATACTTTACGGTGAGCATTTATAGGGACTATTTATGTGTTCAATAATCCTTCCTATTATATGAATCTGTAGTTATTTGATGCCTTTTAGAAAAGCATATTGGAAGATAACTAAATATGATAGAATCCTAAAAAAGACAATAATGCCCTTTAGTTTTGTTTTACCTAAAACTTCAAATAATCACATCGAATTCTACTATCCCTTGCCTACAAAAGTCATCATAATTCATACATACTTGAGTAAACCTATCACAATTGACAATAATTATTAAAAAGACCAATTTCCCTTTGACTTTTTTACAAATGCCTTCCTAACCCAAATGAATATTGCTGCAATTATCATGAAAAAATACCATAAAAACATGTAGAAATTTTATTGTATCCATGTATTGATCCATCAAAAACCAGAAAAAGGAGAACAATACCCTTTTAAAAACTTACTACATTGATTTTTTAAAAAATTACAACAATCATTTATTTCCTTACAACAATCATTTTCCATTTGACGCTATCTCATCTGTATAACTGGTACATGTATGGATGATATCTCATCATGGTAGAGACTATTGCTTTTGTTTTATTTTTAAGACAAAAATGCAAAAATGGTCCCTGTGGTTTGTCATTTTTTGTGGATATGGTCCAAACCTTTTGAAAATTTGATTTTTGGTCCTTATTGAGAGGTTTGTGTGTGGAACAGATCCCTGGAGTTAACCACCGTTGTTTTTGGCTGTTAAACCCCTCATGTGCATTGCACACGAGGGCATAAATGTATTTTTACTCAAGGGGAGAGGGATGAACCAAATTCATCGATGGAAGCTCCAGCGGTGGCTAATATCACGAGGGGAGGGAAGGGCGTAATCTCCGGCGACCCTTGTGGGCTTAATCATTGTTGATCGGGAATGAAAAAATGAACGGGTCGATCGGCGAGCATATCACGAGAGGGGAAGGAACATGGCAGATTGACGATGGTTTTAGGGGTGTTTGATGCTATGGAGCCGACTAGGAGCATCGAGAAACTTAAGAGGGTCATCGCCCTCTTGATCACCGACAAACCTACACTCGCCTCAAGTGGAGGTTCTTCGATTGCAAATGAAGAGGAAAGACGGAGGGAGAACGACGGTATCGGGGGTGTTTTGGGGCGATGTTTTTCAGCAGGAGGAAGAGGGGTAGCTCCTCGATGGTTCACCACAAAACCGCCACTACCGGTGGTGCTTGGTTGGACCGAAGAGAAAAAGAAGAATGCAAGTAGCGGGGGGAAGGGGGGTGTCGTCGGTCTTGGTGGTGTTCTGTGACAATGAGGGAGGCCGAGGGTGGGTTGAGAGGGTTGTTACAGGTTTAATCCAGTTGTTTCTTCTCTTTCTTTTCCGGGAAGATGGTGGTGGAGTTGTGGGAGACGACTGGTGGTGTTGGGGTTGCTGTGTGGTCGTGAGGAAAAGGGGGATTCCATGAAGCTCCTTCTTGTTTTGTTGCAGGTATACATGAGAACCAGAACCAATTTGTTCTTGGTTGGGAATGAAGATGCAAACAGACATAAAGAATCAATCAATTTTTACTGTAAGGGTTCAATTGTTGTTGGTTGTTTGGATTGTGGATTTTGTCATTGTTAATTTATGGTTGAGTGATGTTTTGATTGAGTGTTGGGTTGAAGAAATTGTT